GTTTGTTTTCGGTATACACTAAGCCTCTGTTGAGAAACAGTTCCAGGTTTTTGATGTGCCGGGAAATTATTTTGCTGAAAAGCTAATAAGTGCCTCTCCAGTCAGCAAACGCCTCCCGGAATTATCATCAACTCTTTACAGAAGCGACAAACGAGATCAAGCTCTAAAGCTCTTTGGCAGCAGGCCGGCTCCGCCTCGGCGAAGCCCGGGACTGGAACGGCGGCAAGGACTGGCACCGGAGGCCACCGAGCCCGGCAACGGGACTCTGTAACTGCAACTGCCTTTCCCGTCACCTGGAGTTCAGGAGAGCAAACTCCCTCCCAACAGCCACCTTTTCCTCCCTCCCATCCTGCGCCTCCTTTTCATACGCAGGGCCCACAGCAGGGCTGGCTAATTAGTGCCCCACACACACCCCAGATCACATCCCAACTCAAAAGCAACTGCAACTTGGTCTTCCCTCTCATGACCCACCAGAGTTGAATCAAGACAAGGCAACCTCTCTTTTTTAGTTAAAAAAAAGGGGGGTTCTCGGGTTACAAGAAAAAACAGATCTTTTACACTCCCGCATTATATACCTCCCTTTGCAATCTCCATACATGACGCATTCGTGCACACGTTCCACGTGGGGCTCTACGTCTAAGCTTCACGTCCCCCCATCTCTTCGTGCTGCCAAGTTTATTACCAGACCCCCGGCCGTCGCGTTGACACAGCAGACCACAGACTTCAAGCGATGACGAGGCACCTCTGGAGAATACCTAAACTGTCTTTCCTCACTGCACAGTGGGACTTGGCAGATCTCTGCCCCCAAGCTGCCTACAGTTGATGTTACGAAGAAACAAAGGGAAAGCCTTAATCTCGGGGCCCTCCAGATCGCTACTTATGTGATGCCCTTCGCTGTAAGAAGAAGAAGAAGAGATTGGATTTATACCCCATCCTTCACTACCCAAAGGTGTCTCAGAGTGGCTTACAGACTCCTTTCCCTTCCCCTCCCCACAACAGACACCCCCTGTGAGGTAGGTGGGGCTGAGAGAGCTCTTGACAGAAACTGCTCTTTTTCAAGGACAGCTCTTATCAGAACTACGGCTTGCCCAAGGTCATCCAGCCAGGTGCGAGTGGTGGAGTGGGGAATCAAACCCGGTTCTCCCAGATTAGAGTCCACACACTTAACCACGACACCAAACTGGCTCTCATCCCAGCATCCCAATAGAAGAAGAAGAAGAGATTGGATTTATACCCCGCCCTTCACTACCCAAAGGTTTCTCCAAGTGGCTTACAAACTCCTTATCCTTCCCCTCCCCACAACAAAAACCCTGTGAGGTCGGTTGGGCTGAGAGAGCTGTGACAGAAATGGCTCTTTTTCAAGAACAGCTCTTATCAGAGCTACGGCTTGCCCAAGGTCATCCAGCAGGTGCAAGTGGAGGAGTGGGGGAATCAAACCCGGTTCTCCCAGATTAGAGTCCGCGCACTTAACCATGACACCAATATCTCAATATTCTTGAATTCACTTAACTCAATATTCTTGAACGCACTTAACCACTACACCAATATCTCAATATTCTTGAACTCAATAATAACTCAATAATAACAACAGCCACACAACCAATGAACGTGGCCCCTCACAGAGTCACACAAGCAAACAGAGGCCACTAACATACACATACACAAATTTACAGCGGGAAGGGCTATTAGCCACACCTAGCAGCTGAACAGAACTGCCGCCTTCAAAGGCTGGGGAGAAGTAACGAGGAATGGCCATCCACACCAATGCTCCCTCTAAGCTGTGGAGTCCCGTGAGCAAAAATTCCACTTTGTGAGCGACTGGCTTTAAAGTCGTGAGTGAGCTACTTGGCTGCTGCATCAATCAGTTTGCTCCGGAGCCACATCCTTCCTGAGGTAAGACAAAAATGTGCGAGCCGGAGGCTAAAAAAACTGTGAGCTAGCTCACACTCACTCAGCTTAGAGGGAACACGGATCCACACCTCTGTGGAAGTCACAAGAAGGATGAGGGTGAGACGCCGTCTAATCCAGGATCCCGTTCGACAGCCAGGTCAAAGGAGAGTACAAAAGAGACGAGCTGCAATTGTATGTCCACAGTATCTCACACTCCAAGGTACACTGCCTTCGAATAAGGAGGCTCTATTAAGCTGTCAGGGCTGGGGCTGCCAGGTCCTACCTTTTCTGCTGGCAGTGGGGGGATCGACAGGCCTTTTCTGGAGGTTCTGCCGCGTGTGTTTTGCATGTGCACAATGACGTCAACTAGAAATGATGTCATTGCGCTACCAACATTCTCGTTTCGGGGCAAAACTCTACGGTTTGAGCCCAATTTTACCAGAGTTTTGCCCAAAAACTAGAGCATCACAACACAACGACGACGACGCGATGACGTCATTTTTGTGTGATGTCATCACACTGTGTTTCAAGGCACTTGCAAGCGGGGAGGAACCCGCAAAGGCAGGGGAACCCCCCAACCGAACCAGGGGGGCCGCGACCTTAGTCAGGACTAACAGACGTTATCTACATAATCCTCCTTTATTTAAAACTAGGAGCTACTAGCGCTAGAACTGGATTATCTGCAGCGTGAAGAAACACAAAACAAAGTCCTGGGATGAGCTGGACCATTGGTGTGACCCAGGGGCGGATGAAGGCTCACTGGTGCCCGAAGCACTGACCCATCTTGGTGCCCCCCCTCCTTTCCACACTGACCCCCAGTCCATTTGAGTTGTTGACCTGTCTGGCCAGATATACAATGCAGGTTGCAGCAACTCACAACTGAATTTGGCTCCATCATTTTAAACACAGCCTATGACACTGCACCTCGCCAACAGAAAACAGAAGATAACCCTAGGGTGCACCATGATCAATTTGCACTAGTTTTTATCAAAAGAAATTGTTACAAATCTTCATTCTTTTTTTTTCTTTTCACCCTTTTTCCAACTTCCTGCTGCCCCCTTTTGGCCCTGGTGCCCTAAGCAGGTGCTTAGTCTGCTTCATGGGTGATCCGCCCCAAGTGTGACCCAAACAGGCAAACTGAGGCTTCAGGAATCACTATGGAGTGACCCAAACAGGGAAACGAAGTGAAGGCTCCAGGGATTGCCAGAAAGTGACCCAAACAGGGAAATGAAGGCTCCAGAAATAACCATGGTACGACCTGTCTGCACCCAAGTCCCTGGAACAAGCTATCTGCAGACTAGTTACTCAAATAAAGCAGCATGTGTCTTTTACTCAATATGGGGGAAAGGTAGCAACTCCAACCCCCCCAACCAAACCCCCCACCCCAAAGAATTGTGGGAGTTGTAGTTTGGGGAGGGTGCCAAGAATTCACTGTTGAACTACAGCTCCCGAGCGTCCCCGAGAAAGATCAGGACTCTTCGACGGCTGTGGTCCTGTAGGGCAAACATGACTTGAGATGCCTTCACACCAGACACCAGCCAGAGTCAGAAGTAGGAATAGGAAGCGTTAGAAGTCCGCCAGCAACCAACAAGCAGAAGGAGGGCACACAAACCGTCCATCCGTCCCGTCCCCCACCCCCCACAAAAGCTATCAGAGCATTTCTGGGTTCAAATGACACAAACTCCTTAAAAGCATCCTCTACTGGTCCACAATAATGAGAAGAAACTTTCTCATTCTGCAGCCAGAGACAGAAGGTAACATCTTGAGAGGAGCTCATCACAGGAGATTCTACCAGCGGGTTTGGGGGCCGATGAAGCACGAGGGGAAACCACCCCAAGGAAACACGCTCAAACGCCGCTTTGTTGGTTCCAAAGTTTCTGTACCTGTGGCCAAAGGCCAGACTTTCCCTCCTCCCTCCCTCCCTCCCCAAAATTCTCCATTTCCCGACAGGCCTTAAGAGGCCAATGCCACCCAACCCCAACAGCACGCAACCTGGCGACGAAGCGCAGGCCTTCCTCCTACCTTTTCTGCCATGATCATGGACGAGCCACCGTGAATCCCCAAGATCGGGATGAAGGTCTGCGAGGAAATAAAATCCAAAATCTGGGCGACGGCCTCCTGGTCGGTGTCGTCGCTGAAAACCACCCCGTGGATCTTGGTGCCTGACATCAGGTCGCAAACGTTGGTGATGATGCTCTTGGGATCCGTGTGGTTGACCAGCAGGGGCACCACGTTGACCTCAAGGGTGAAGTTGGCTGCCATCTCCCCCGTCCAGAGGCCGCGGACGTCCCTTTCCGTCAGGCGCTGCATCCTGCCCAGAATGACGGCGATGTTCAGGACGGGGTAGCCCCTCTCTGCCCCGTGGACGAGAGCCGACTCCGCCAGAAGGGTCTGGAGCACGAGGAGAGTCCAGCAAGCCCGCGCCATCTTCACCAGTTCCATTCCCTGCAGAAGGGGGGGGTCACATCGCACAAAGCAGGCAAAAGATCAGGATGAAGCACAGCGACCGCCTCCTGTTCTCGGCACGAGATAAGACCTTCGCCCGGCAAGACATCCCTGGTCCTCGGAGAGGGGGGGATGTCTAAAAGTTTAACTTCAGCCAGACAACCCAGGTGACAGCACTCCGGCTGTGGCCGAGGGAACAGTAAAACAGACCCCCGAGTTTTCGATCTCAGAGCTCAGGTTGGCTAGGAAGATTCCGCCAGATCAGAACCCGAGCAAAGCAGTGTAAAGCCTTGGCACAGGTGAGCCGGCGAATTCCCAATCTGCCTCCTTTTGGGGGCGGGGGAGGAAGATCAAGCTGCAAAAGGCTTCTTGAAAAGTGATTCCGGGACCAGCGCCAGGTCTGCCACCTGCCCCTTCCCCCCCCCCTTCTGCCACTGAAGAAGCCACGGTCGGTGCCCCCCCCTCCCCTCCCCTCGGCTATTCTCGGCCCAGCAGCGACCTCCGATTCCAAAACTCATTCCGGGCCGGCCATGCAAAACCAGCTGCGTTGCTGGAAGAGGTTCAGGCATGCATTATTCTAACCTATTTCTCACCGCCCGCCCCGCAGCTCTGCATTTCCCCTGGGCCAGGCCTCCTCGCGCATCCACTGGCATGCATTCCATGGGCATCTGACCAGTCGGGGAGGAGCACTCAGGACTCCACACCGAGCCCCCTTTCAGTTGGGCTTCGGGGCACCTTTTCCCTCGGCTTATGGGTGGTGGGAAGGACTCCTCTCTACCACCTCCTGGTGCCAAGAGCCCCACGACTGTTCCCCGGAGACAGGGGCTCCTTTACACCGCCCGGCAACCGTTTCCCTCCTTCTCGGATCCTGCCCGCAGCCGGAACGCTGTGTCCATCAATCAGTTCCCGGGGCCGAGCCGGAGACTGCCACCACTGCAGCCGGAGACTGCCACCACTGCAGCTGGAGACTGCCACCACTGCAGCTCGGGCTGGGCAGCCAAGGGGGTCTCCAGCACTCTTCCCCGCTGACCTCATTGGGATTCCAAGTGTGCCACTGTCTGTTGCAGGGCAGATCTCTCTCTTTTTTTCCCCCCCCACCGCAGTGTGATCAGGCAAGAGGCAAAAGGGGGGAGGGGGAAAGTACAGTAAGGCCGGCGGAGCCTTCCGGGCAGGGGAACCGGAGTGGCTGTTGTCCTGGGAAGGGGAGCGAGAGGCGATGCATTCCGGGCTTCCTTCAAGGAAAGGAGAAAATCTTTCCCCCTGTTTTTGTTTTTTTTTTTAAACTGCACACCCCGACCCCCCCCCCCCCCGCCCCAGGCAGGCTGTTGCGAAATCCTGCAGCCCTGACCCGCTCCCTACGTAGCGGGGGAATTCTAGCGCCTCTCCGGCCGCCCATTCATAGCGGGAAGCAAAGGCCAAGAGCGCCCCCTGCCGGGCTGCGCCCCGATCCTCGCCCTCCTCCTCCTCCCGCGCCGCGTCTCCGTACCGGGAATGCGAGAAACTGTAGCCGCCGCCGCCGCCGCCAAGTTGGGCATTCTAGTATCGCCCTCGTCGTCGTCGTCAGCGCGGAGCGTCACGGCCCAGGGCTTCACCTTCCATCGCGGCGCGCCGGGACCCGCTGCTGGCCTCCGCCGCCCGCCGCCCGCGGGGTGCGCATCGCCTGGCCCAGGCGCAGCGCTCAGGATCCATGCACGGGGGGTCTGCGGAGAGAGGAGG